GTAAGCCTTTCTGCGGACGTGTACGCATACGGTGCATTTCACTAACACTACCAGCTGTCACGCAAAATTAAATGGGATATTTTCAACAATATAATTTACGCTAGTGTTTGTGAGACCGCTCGGCGAGAACCTAACGCAACCAACTCAATTTGACAGCTTTCTTTCTTTAACATTGCTTAACGATGTATACGACAAAACGTGAATTCAAGTGTAAAAATGATCCTCAAAAGTTTTGTTACGCGTGTGGCAACTATATATTTACAAAATCGGTCAATTTCACTGCTTCGTTGCAAACTGCATACAGGCTTTATTTTAAAATTGATCCTGGAGACTTTGACGAACCGTGGTTTACAAAAGTATTATGTAGTTCGTGCAAAACGTGCTTGGCTAGGTGGATGTCAGGCGCAAGGTAAATTGATTTTTTGAATAACTTTCATATAAACAATTTATGTACAGCATGGTAGTGCTTTGTTCTTTCCTGATCGACAATATCTTACTTCATCTATTTTTGATAAGTGTTAATGTCTTACTTACTAACTCACTTATTTGTTATCTGTCAGTCGCTATTTGTCCTTTGACATGCCCACCATATGGCGTCGACCGTTTTGTCATGCAACGGATTGTTATTTCTGTTTGACAAAAGTTAAGCAACAAGGACGTCACAAAACAGTTGAGTATCCACAAGTGGCTTCTATGACAAAACCTGTTCCACATTCAAGTTCGGTCCCGTATCCTGTTTATCCAAAGTGGAAACGAGCGCCCTCTGTTGAATCGACCGTTACAAAAAGTGAGGAGGAATTCAAGGAGGAATGCGAGGAAGACTTCGAGGTGGAATTGGAAAGAAACCCAAAACTGTTTACACAATCCGAATTTAATGATTTGGTGCGAGATCTCGACTTATCGAAGGAGAAATCCGAATTGCTGGCATCACGCTTGAAAGAACACAACATGCTGAGCGAGGCTGCAAAGGACAAGGCATGTTTTTGCCATGACGTAAACGGCTTGTTTGAAGAGTTTGGTGAGCCATATGATCCAGCTGAATGGCGTTTATTCATCGATAGCAGCAAGTTGAGCTTGAAATTTCCATGATTTTACTGCATCAAGGGAATGAGAAACCTTCTATTCCATTAGCTTATGCCGTTAATATGAAGGAAACGTATGAATCAATGGCTCTATTGCTCAATTTGATAAATTACAATCAACACAATTGGAAAATTTGTTCCGATCTTAAAGTGGTTGCCATGATGACTGGATTGCAACAGGGATACACAAAATATATGTGTTTTTTGTGTAAATGGGACAGTCGAGCTCGTAAGGAACACTACGTCCGAAAAGATTGGCCAAAACGGGATAATTTCACAATTGGTAAAGACAACGTTAAAAATGATCCTCTTGTGGTAAAAGAACGCATAATACTTACACCACTACATATAAAACTTGGGCTATTCAAAAATTTCGTCAAAGCGTTGCAAAAAGAAGGGCCGGCATTCCAGTACTTGAAATCAGTATTTCCAAATTTATCTGACGCAAAGATAGAGGAAGGTGTATTTGTTGGCCCACAGATCAAAAAACTGCTCAATGATTCCGCATTCAATACAGTTTTGACACCAGATGAGGAAGAAGCGTGGAAATCGTTCCAGCGAGTTGTCACAACCTTTTTAGGAAATTTCAGAAGCCCAGATTATGAGGAAGCCGTCGATGAATTGCTCAAAAATTATGAGAAAATAGGTATAAATCAAAAATATTGTGTTTGTTACATATAATTAATTTCAAATCCTTTTATTTCACTGAACACAGGTGTGAATATGTCTTTGAAGATACATTTCCTACATTCTCACATGGATTTTTTCCCGGAAAATCTTGGTGACGAGAGTGATGAGCACGGCGAACGTTTTCACCAACAAATGAAGATGATGGAACGTCGTTACCAAGGGTTTTGGGATGAAGCAATGATGGGTGACTATTGTTGGTTTCTGATTCGAGAAACAAGTTCAAAACATCGAAGACAAAGTCATTCGATTCTCAATCATTTTTAATAAAACCTAAATAAATTTCTTTTGTATCAACTCGGTTTTAAATCCTGATATGCCTTAATCAAATTGATATGTAGAGAAAAGAATCTCCCATGAAAACTTTACATGCGATTTGGATGCTTACAACGACACCTAGAAAAGGAACTCTAAAGCTGTTGTATTTCAGCAACATTTTTAAGTGTTTTACAAAAATGCTCATAACTTCGACAATTTCCAACCGATTTCATCCATTAAAGGTTCATTTTCTCCGGTTTTGAATGGACTTTAAGAATAAATTATGGAATGATTTTTTGAATCTTTTTATCCCATTAAAAATGTTGATTAAAACAAGATTTTTATGGAAAATTCGCAGGAAAAATAAAAAAAAAATGCTGTAAATTTTTAAATGACTTCAAAATTGAATTTTTAATTAAGACATAATATTCTAGTGAACGATAGCAAATTTATTTAGCTTCAATTTAAAAAAAAAGGTTTAAAATTGGTGCACTAGTGTAGCATTTTGACGTCTTCTAGAATGTTTCTTCAATTTTTGAGCACATACTTTATTTGAGTTGTAAAATTTTTCGCTTGAAGGGGTTATATACGTAGACAAAAACAAACTTTTTTATGTCTTGTTAAATACGATGAACATCTATGAAAACATTATAGATAACATCATTTTAAGAAACTTTGTCGAACATGACATTTTTCTATCTCTCAACTGGACGAAACTATATGGTGAAAATGGAGTACAAACGGTATGACTTTGTAACGCTATCTTCGGTAAAACTTTGTAACGCTATCTTCAAAGAGGTGTATCTTGCAGCTTAGTAGATATTAGCAGCTAATCTCAACGTTATTTTTCTCAAAATCTTATACCCTACTGTTACATATACAATACATAGAGGTATCCAAGGGAATGCCTAATCTTATCTTATCTTATCTTTCTTTATTAAAGAGACTTTCAGCCATCGGCTGGTTCATCTCTGGGGATGCCTAATGAATTTTCTAATAAAGTACCTCAATGTTTTGTTACGTCTTACAGTTTTCATGACCATTTTTCCAAATATTTTCATAAGGGTAGGTTCTCCACTGCTCTTTCAATACTTGTTCAGGTCCCTAACAGCTGGGCAAAATTTTGACAAATTTTGTAATAATCTCGATTTTAATTTTGTTTGGGAAAATGAACGAGCCTATTCATTTGCTTGCCACATTTCACCAAAACTATACTAATCTATCTCAATCTAAAGAGAACACTATGCTAAACAACTTTGTCGAAGCTGCAACGCACCTTATGTACATACTTGGAAAAATGGTCATGAAACCAGCAAAACGTAACAATACTTAATTGATATGTAATAGTAGGGTATAAGTTGCTGAACTGAATTGCGTTGAGCTCAGCTGCTAATACTTGCTAACCTGCAAGATACCCCTTAAAAATAGTGTCAACAAATTATAAATATGGATGTAAATCCTTAAAACGTAGAAATAGCGATTAAAAGAAAGCATTAGATTAAGCAAAAATACACAGCTTTGTATAACATTGAAAAAATTGGAATTGTTACACTCAATAGTTTCGCTGCAAAAGGCCAATTTTTTATATTTCGTCCTACCCCCAGGCTGAAAATCTCTCTAATAAAGCAAAAAAAAAAATATTTCGTCCCGCTGTGCTCCGTAAAAAAAACCAGGCTACCGTTCAAAAGGGCTGACCTTATTTGTTTTACTTCGAAATGATTATATCTTCACATATGTTGTCAAAGAGTGAATTGTAGACAGTTATCTTGAAGTATCAAACAATTTATTATTTTATAAAGTAATTACTACTGTCACCTAAAGGCATGGAAAATCATTTGCATTCATTTCGTGCATTCATTTACATTCATTTGCCCCTAACTTTTTTCATCAATAAAATTCCGCAAAATGATGTATGGAGCTTTTGTAGATTTTGTTATCAGCTACAACTTTTGTTAAAAACTCAAATCCGTATCTCTGTGTATTTTACATTCACTGAAAAACAGTAACGAGTTCTGCCCGCTCTAATTCGTGATGCATAAGAGTTACAGATTTAAGTTACAGGCAAAAGTTGTAGCTAATAACAAAACCTACTAAAACTCTGTACATCATTTTGTGGAATGCTGTTGATGAAACAAGTTAGAGGCAAATGAATGTAAATGAATGCATGAAATGAATGTAAATGATTGTCCATGCCTGGTCACCTATGTAATTATCAAAATTTAATAACGAGTGTTCAAAACACCAGGTGTGCCTTATTTCGACTATTTTTGCCGAAATTTTTGCTTACAACAGCGACAACAGGTAGTGAACAAAGCACCGAGCTACAGGTAATGAACAAAGCACACCAAAAGAAGTAAACAGCTGCCGTTAGCGTGATTGACACCGTGGAGAATAACTGATGCTGCCCCGACAGCTGAGAGCAAACTGAGATGTTTATGATGTGGATTGGTTTGCCAATTTTTAGTATCGAAACAGATGCAAATTTACTACGTGTTCAAAGTAGCCCGCCTGTTTACATTTCCAACTGTGGTTAAATGGATAATTTATTGATTTCACACGAACATTTTCAAATTCGCTGACAACAGAAATGTGCCCAAGACGGTATCACATTACATTACATGAGCATATTTATCGAAATTTCGGTTAGTGTGATGGGTCAGATCTCATCATATTGGATGTGTCGCATGACTTTGTCATAAAATGCTTTTTTTCGAAATTCATTTACGGGCCCAATATTGGGGACACTTAGGCCTACATTAGGAACATTAACACTATATTCACAACAAAAAAAAACTTAAAAATTGAACTGAAGCACCAGTACCGAAACTTTGGAATGAATAAAAATAATCTCGATCAAACTTGAATCTTCAAAAATCATAGTAATAAATTTTCAACACTAAAAAGTTCTCATGGATATTAAACTAATAGTTATGGTATAAAGATAAAGTTACTAATCAATACAATAAAACTCACCTATACCAGCTTTATTTCTCCTTCCTCTTTTAGCTTTGTTGCATGGTTTATCATCGGGGGTTGATGACATTTTTTCAGATTCATGTGTATCAACGGTTAAACTTGATTCGGTTTCCATCTTATGTAAACTTTCCTGGTTAGATTGAGGTGCATGCACAATTGTGCCATTATCGTGTTCATCATAAGAAACTGAAGAATTGTTCTTATGTTCTGTTGTTGATAAAAGTTTGTCATAGGAACTACTTTTGCTCACTTCACAGTTATCAGGAGAACTTGAAACGATTTCTTCTTTCATACTGTTTTTTCCGCAGAATGCTGATTCTGGTAGGCTTTTTTCTTTATTCGGGTTACTGTTTTCTGAATGTTGGTCTAGGGAGCATGAATGTAGTTCCTTGTGTTTTTCTTCAGATTTGTCATCACTATATTTTATTGTGCTATCTACCGAACAGTCATCTTTTAATTCCTCGTGCTCAATTATTTCCGAGGATATGCTATCAATTTCCACGCATTTACTGCTATGCTTACTTGCTTTTGAATGTGCTTCAGTCTTATCTACATTTGCTTCATCAATTACCTTGTTTTTGTCTACTGAAGTTACTTGATGATCATTGGGGTTGTAGTTTTTATTTATCTTTTTCTTAAGCGGGAGATCCTTGTTATCTGTTCGGGCAGATTTCGGAAGATAACATACACTTGCATTTTTATTGATATCGGATTCCTTACATGGTTGTGATTGAATCTCATCTTTAGAGACGTTAACTTCCGTCTTCGTATCATCACCTGTTTTTATGTTTCCCATCTTATTATCCACACCATGACCTAAACCATACACAAAAAGTGTAGGTTCCTCTATAACTTCACTAAAATATGGTTGGGATTCACACTTTGCTCCTGATCCTTCACCTCGAATAACCATAGTTGGTTCTTCCACAGTATCATTTGTCGGTTCTCCTTTCTCGATGGACTCCATTTTTAAGTCAACTTTTGTAATTTCTAAATCCTTCGTTACTTGAATATTGGATTGGGGATTGTCTGGTTCATTTTTATCTCCAAATAAAATTTTCTTTTCATCGTGCACTGTTTCCTCAGCTATTTTATAAACTCTTCTCTCAATAATAAGAGAATTCTCTTTGGCTTGTTGCTTCAAACATGGGTTATCGTCTAAATGCGATAAATTACTGTTGCTGCTTGTGTCTTCATCAATCACGTCTTGAGATGAGGCTATGCTAAATTCGTTATTTTTCAGATTTTCTATTAACTGCGCGACTTCATCGCGGGTACTGAAATAAGATAAACAAATAAATGCAATGATTACTTTTATTAAGAGCTTTTAATCTTATAACAAATTATATTGAAGCCACTAATAATGTCATGGATTGAAAATTGCATCAAAACTAGTTTATTTAATATACCGACATTATTATGTTTTTGCCCGAAAAGAGAGTACTACTCCAGTGGTTTTCAACCGTATTTGTTCCATGCCGCCTTTAAAAAAAACTGCTCACATCCGTTCCCCCTCCAACATATTACCTAGGTAATTTAATAGAAAATAAATTAGACGTTACAATACCTTAATACAGTCTCGTAAATATATTAGAGTCAATTAAATTGTTAACAAGTTTACGCAATTCAAAGGTTTATACGTATACGATGCGCTATGTTGAAACCCCTTTTAATTTTGTAAATTAAAAGTCAATGTAAAGGCTGTACCTGAGCACTTTCCGTTAGCATTTGGAGCTGTGGTTGACAAAGCACACCGCATGGACGTCTAGTGTAGTAATATCCATAACATTGCCAAGGACCAAGTGTAAGGGAGACGACTCTAGCTAAGATGCAGGGAAAATTTTGATTTGCTGTTGTGAGTTGCGTGTGTTGATAAAAAGATAGGAAGATGAAGATTTTCTGCAAAAGAATGCAGTACAATAAGTGCGTAGTTAAATTGAAAAGCAATATAGCAACAATATGAAATAGCAATATATATATATATTGTTATTGTTATTGTTATTGCTCAATTCACACCCTGGCAGGCTCTGCTGCCTACCGATCTGCACTTAAGCCAGGCATGAACCTACGGAAATTTAGTCGTGGCCTATAACGACTTTCCTTTCACTAGCAGGCTTTTTGGTCCCATTAGCGTCCGATTAGGGGATAGTAAGAGATTAAAAGAATAAAGAAGAGAGATAGAGGATTTTGTTGTTTTGCTGAAAAGAAATAAAAAAAAAAACAAAAAAAAAACACGCCGGCTTGTTGTGCAACATCAGGTTAGTTCGCTTTCATTCCGTTCCAAGGGGCAACGTCCATCGTCGTCGTACTCAAATACCTGGGAATCTCCAGAGGTGCATAGGGCCAACGTGAAAGACTTCCATTCTGGGCAGCTGCTTGACCTGGGCCCAGGTCAAATTCCTATCGGCTTGCTTAATTTCCTTGTTGACGCTCCGCCGCCTTAGTATTTGCCTTTGCTGCGATGTTCTGGCGGATTTAATTCATAATCAAACGCTTGCCTGCAGACTTCGTTTCTATTGCTATCGGCTTCTGATGACATTTACATCTAAGATCCATTTGTGAGGCCACCAGCCACAAGTTATATACTGCAGGCAGCGGTTGATGAGACCTGCAGCTTTTGAGTGTTCTCCACTGGTGCTGCACAGATTCCACGTTTTAATCGAAGTTTCGAGTTTTGGTACGTTGATCAATCTGATTTGATCTCCGCTTTTGTGTAAATGTCATATTATAACCGACCTTATTACCATCACCTTAGTGTGTGACATCAGGTGTACGCTCCTCTGTGTTTTCGTTACCAACGCAGTTAATTTGACACGTTTGTTGCATTCCCGTATGTCTCAATATTATTCTTGCTGAACCACCGTCAAACCAACTATCCAGAGGCAGCGAACCACCTTAACACCTGAAATTATACAAAAACAAATTAAACATTACCGGGGGGGGGGGCCCTTCCTCGATTGCAACAGCTCCAAGTCATGCAACAGGATCATTTCGTGCCCCATGACAACTTGATCCAGTTGCTTCCAGGTTCATTGTTTTGGCGCCAGCCGGGAGAGACTTGATCCTGTACCAAATGCTTTCCTTGTCTCCATTCCGCTCAGCTACTCGCAATTGATTGTGATATAGTGGGCGGAATATTACAATGTGAGACAATTCAATACAGACGTCTTCCAAATTTGGCCGATCGGGTTACCACCTGGCACCTCTTAGCAAGCACTATGCTACGAACAGTGATGGAAAAGTTCGCAAAAAATCACTATGACTCGCGAACTTTTCCCTTGGAGAACTTCGTGAAATATCGCGAACTTTTCCAACACTGGCTACGAACCACACGACCCATCAGCACTACACGTTCCGCTGACGTAGGAAGACAACCGACAACACCGACACATCCGCACATAGGTACAGTCCAGTTGTGCATTCTTAGAGAATAAGACATTCAATGTAACTTAGTATTTAAATAAAATCATTCTTATTTCGGCCTTCAGCCAAGCAAGTTCTTTTTTTAAAAGGTCCGTCCGAAGGCACGAAAGTTATTTGGCGCAGTCGGTAGGATGCGCTTAGATAACGGAAGACTTGATGCACCTGAAAATCCTGTGATTCCTCCGGTACAAAATACCGAAAGAAACCAAGCGGGAAATATCAACATTGATGTGGAATGTCAGCGAGGCAAAATTCCAGATCTGATCAAAAATTTGCCAACATTCGCAGGTAATCCAAAACAAATTAATCATTGCATTACTTGTGCAGACCGAGTAGTCAACATATATAGACACCTGATTGGTACTGACGTCTATGAGGCATGGCTCATGGAAATCAGAAACAAGATTATCGGCGAAGCTGGAGATCTTTTAGCCTCTAGCGGAATTCCACTTGATTGGGGAAAAATTAAAAACCAACCAAAAAATCATCTACGGGGAATTAAACGGAATTAAACGTGAATTGTCAACCCTACTTCAAGAATAACAACTCGGTCAGGAATGTTTACACTGCAATTAGTGATTGCTATACCGGAATCTCCACACACATTTAGATGGATGCACAGTGGCAGCATCCCGATGAATTAGTGAAATTCGTAGATAAACTATGCCTCGAGAAATTCATCGATGGCTTGGATGAACCCTACTCATCGGACGTAGGACTATTGCAACCAACTAATCTCAGTCAGGCATACCAATATACCAACGACAAAGCTAATAAAATAGCAAGGAGAAACGGAGATTATGAAGCAAATGCTAATCAAAATCTCGGAGTAATGCAAAAAACCCCACCACATTCGAATAACTTTCCAATCAAACAAGGTCCACCAATCAGAGCACAATATAATACAAATTACCAGACCCATCAGAGTAGACAGTTGAATAATTGTTCATATCAAAAACCAAACTTTGAAAATTTTAGTAGATCAGTTCAACCCAGTCCTTACAAGACAACAACAAACCAAACAACTAACAGACTGGAAACAAAATTTTCAAACAACAATGTGAACTCTCAATCCATTGCAGGGCAGAGTAGACCGTTTAATAATCAATTTGTCAGAACTAACCAGTCCAGACAATTTTATAGACCAAATCATGAGATAGCGAATCAAGAAGTAACCCATGATTATGATTATCAAGAATACGGGGACTATCAAAATTCCCCAGATTACGCAGACTCTCGAGACTATTCATATTCTCAAGAGAATTCAAATTATTCAGATTCTACTCCAGGTGAAGATTATCTCGACGAAGGATTGAACAATGAAGTAAATTTTCACACAACCCCGACTATACAAGAGCTAGGGTAAAAACTGATTTGTACCATTTATTACAATAGAGAGTCAAAATGGACCTCTAAAATTTTTAATTGACACAGGAGCTAATAAGTCATTTATTAGCCCTTGACCAACGATAGCTCAAGCTTTTCCGGCAAGAAAAAATGGATGGTTTGGCCAACTTCCGAGAACGAAAACAAAGGACTTCCGTCGATCACAAAAACTCGTTTTATTCTGATTTTTCTCTCGTTACAGTGTTGCTGGTTTTCCATTAGCATAAACAAGTGTATTACGTACTTCAAATAAAAGTCACTCAAAAGTTCAGTTCAGCGACCTATTAAAAAATGTGACGGCGTTAGCACGGAATAGTCGCTTGGATCATCCGACAGCGCAAACAAAGGTCGCGAGTTAAGAATGGCCTCCGTTTGAACCAAAACGGTGCTCATCTCTTCATACGTAAGCCTGGTCTCACCAACAGTTCTCTTCAGGTGGTATTTCATGGATTTCACCCCCGCTTCCCAGATTCCGCCAAAGTGTGGGCTTGTGGGGGGGATGAAATGCCAGCGGATGCCTTTTACGCTACAGAACTCTTTTACTTTCAGTTGATACTGCTCATCTTCAACCAACTCCTTCAGAGCAGCTAGTTCATGGTTGGCACCGACAAAAGTAGTAGCGTTATCACTGTGGATGTCACTCGGCAATCCTCGACGACTGGAAAAACGTTGCAATGCAGCAATGAATGTGTCGGTCGACAGTCTTGAAACTAGTTCTAAATGGATGGCTTTCACTGCCATACACACGAAGACGACCACGTATGCCTTATACAGCTTCGTACTCCGACCTCCTAGTTTCAACATAAATGGACCAGCATAGTCAATACCAACCTTGGAGAATGGTGGCGCTGGATTGACTCGAGACTCCGGAAGATTTCCCATGAACTGACCACCTGGTATAGGACGCTGCCTAGCACACACCTGACAATTGGAAACGATTTTCTTGATTGCCAACCTTACGCGCACCGGCCAGTAATGTTCGCGTACGATAGCTAACAATCCATTCTGTCCAACATGAAAATGTTCCAAATGCAGTCCACGTATGATTGCCTCTATGACGTGATGCTTCTCCGGTAACAACACCTGATGTTTGCCATCATAAGGAATGGCCGAATATTTCAAACGGCCTCCGACTCGGATTAAGCCGTCGTCTCCCAGGAACGGTGCGAGGTTCCGCAATGGATGCCGCTGAATGGAATTTGATTGCAATGCCTTACGCAGATCGCCGAAACATTCACGCTGGAGGACTGACAAGATTGATGCCTCTGCCTTCTTGATTTCGTCCGCTGAAATGTCACCGAAGCCTTGTTTCTTATGCACCTTGATATCGATGTAACGATGCACGTACACCCACGCTCTCTGCATTCTCATGTAGTTGCTGAGTCTATCAAGTACTAAAGCCGGACAACATTTCATGACCGCCAACACTACTGCCGACTTCACCTCCGGAATAGCTGATTCTTCCAAA